GTTCTGCATCTGGAGGAGGGGCAGAGGGACGAGAGACAGGGGACCACAGGTCATCACAGAGCAATCTGCAGTGGCCAACGTGGAAACTCCTCCAGATTCCAACAGGAGTAACTCCCACTCCAGCCACGCCTGGCGTGGCCAAGGCGGCTGCAGCTTACTTTCCGGAGACACGGAGGCTCAATGGGTTCCCCTCCCCGCATTACAAAAGTAACGCATGTCCTATATAATAAAAGGGTAATATGCAAATCGACCCCAATGGCAGAACAACCAGAATGACTGCTTGACCAGTCACTATGAGGCACACTGACCACCTCTTGGTCCCTTTCCCTGGCTGGCAGGCTCCCATCACCCAATGGCAAATGGAGAACTGGGGGTGAGTGGCAGGGATGTGGGCTGTGCCAGACCAAGGCCCCCGCCCCATTGGTTGCCCCCACACACAGAGGGCAATGTGCAGGGGGGGGTGGGGACCGTGAGTGGGCGGGAACAGCCAACCTCTTGGTCCTCCTGCCCCCCTCTCCCCTGGCCAGCAGGCTCCGATCTATCGTCTGATCGCAAACGGGGAACCGGGGGTCGGGGTTGGCGGGGGGCGGGGCTGGCTGCCGGCAGCCAGGGAAGATGGCCCTGGTTGCAGGCCAGGCCTAGGGACTGTGTCCGCACATGAATTTCGTGCGCCAGGCCTCTAGTTCATTATAAAAAGATATTAGAGGCTAAGTATAATGGGAAAGAAGCAGCCCTTTTTTCTTAAATGGAGAGTTCTCATGTTATTACACTCAACCTTTTAGTTCCCATGGCGCTGGCCCCTGGTGATTAAAGCGACGCCAGTGGTGGGGAGCAGATAATGTGAGACTTGGGAGTGAGATTCCTGGGCGTTTCCACACTCCCAGGTGCTCCCAAGGCAGCAAGGGCCGAGGGCCAACTTGCCGGTCGCTCTGTGTCCTCCCGCCAGGTACTGTGGCTCTCAGGCTCCTGGCCATCTGCCAGCGACACCCTGATCCTATCTCATCAGAAACATCAAACTACTCTGGAAGATGCAGAAACACGGGTGCCCTCAGGGGCCCAGGGAGTAGGAAATAGGGTGGGAGAGAGAAAAAAGGAGGAAAGGAAGGTGGCCAATATGAGAAACCAGAGAGCAGATGGGGGAAAGGGAGACTAAACACACAGCACCTTCCCAGCTGATGACATGCCCACAGGAACCGACTGGCGCCCAGAGGGGGGCTGAAGGCCAGGCTGCCCTCGTGCAGGACACTGTCCCCGGCGCCCGCGCCCATAGCAGTGAAGCGCCTCCTCACCTTCCCAGAAGGTGCAAAACCCAAACACATCTGACCACAGGGCACCCCGAGGAGCTGGGCTGAGTCCGGCCCTGGGTCTCGGCCCCGGCGCTGCCCGGCGCCTGCTTCTGACCTGGGGACAGCCCATCACTGTTCCTGTGGATCCTGGGTTCCTCATCCACGTTCATATCAGAACGACCGTCGCAAACCTTTGTAGCTTACAAGGCATTTTCACAGACGTCGCCTCTGAGGCTAGGAATTGTTTTTTGTTGTGTGTGTGTGTGTGTGTGTGTGTGTGTGTGTGTGTTTGTATGGTTTT